AAATAACTCCTAAAAAAATTTTAAAACCCACCACATTTAAAGAACTTTGATCTAATAGATATAAAAGAAGTTTGCTTAGTAATTCCATAAAATGTATTTTGTTTGCCTTTGATGATTCAGGATTTATATTTGAGATAATAACTCAATTTTATGTAATTTTAAGCCTAATGTGGACGGATGTCAGTATCTTGCCTCCTGTGATCTATTTATCTGTTTGAGTAGGCTCTCAGCCAGAGATCTGTGCTGTTATACTACACTAGCATTATATTTATGCTAACATGATTTGACACTATTTTTCCATAACTTTTCAATGAAAAGGGAAGGGAACTGGAGTTTGGGTCTTTTTACAAAATTATAGTGGTCAGTGTCATAGTCCAAATGGTCCTCCTGCATTAGGTGGTTAATTTGAAAAATAAAATTTTTGCCCATTTTTTTTAGGAGACCCTTTCACAGAATACAAATGCTCCAGTAGAGATTCACAATCAGTGCTAGGAGAAAAGCTGGGATTTGTTTCTCTTTAACACACACACAGCACGCACACAGCTTATCCCATTAGCCATTGGAAAAGATTGCCAAAATAACGTTTTCCATTTGAAATTTGTTTTGGATTTTACACAGTGCAGTATCACAAATTATTTTCGTGTGTGTCATTACCCAGTCTAAAGTAGGAACATAATTAATTTTTAGTGTCTAGTCAGTACTTAATAACGTTGATTGATACCTCATCTTTAATTGTCTTAACAGCTCTTTGAAAATGTTTATTTTTGTTCCCATTTCACAAGAGAGGAAATTTTAGACTGAGAAACGTCTTTTTAAAATTTTTTCAGCCTTATTGAGATATGATTGACAGACAAAATTGTATATATTTAAGGTATACAATGTGATACTCTGATATATGTATTTAAGTCAATTTTCTAAGTGTACACAGCCACAAGTGGCAAAGCCAAAACTCTACTCCAGGCCTTTTTGGTTATGTCCAGTTGATCAGGCTGTCCAACTGTATTCTTTTCGTAGAACTTGGAAACAGTAGAGTGAAAGAAGCATCAGACAGAATTGGATTTCGCATAAATTGATCCAATAAGAAAAAGACTTAATATATGAGGCCCATTTAGCTAAAGTCAAAGGGAGGTTTTCTGACTGTCATCAGCCATCTGCAGTAAGAGCAGGTATATGGATTTTCTGTTTCCAGTGATGACAGAAAAAGAGAATGTTTTTAAACTGCAGCAGAGATTAAGATGCACTATTAAGAAGAATGATGTGTTTACATGTTGAATAGACATCAAAATTTGAAATGAATTTCTGGACCCCTCTAGACCAAAAAAAAGAAAATAAAAAAGGTTGCCTGAAATATTAAGGTGATTAAAGCAATATTTTGTCTTGAATCTTCAAAACAGTTTATGTACATGGGCGCCAAAGTTAAAATTCATTACACATCATGAATGTAGGAAGTAGTATTATGGAACCCTGTCCTCTAATTGTTTTAAGGAAAAATAATAAAATATCAACTTTTGGGAACGTTTTAAGTTTACTGCTTTCCAATGACAAAAGTTGAATCGGATGAGCTCCTAAGAATTTTTT